CAATCCTGAGCTACGTATATTCTCTTCTATTGGTAGAATAAAAAGAGTCCTTTCGGTTCTCTGAGAACGCAAGGACTGCACAGTTCAATCCTGAGCTACGTATATTCTCTTCTATTGGTAGAATAAAAAGAGTTTGGCAAAACAAGATTTACAAAACAACACTTCAAGCTCACTCTGAATGAAGCATATTTGTTAACAAGAGAAAGAATTTCTGAAGTCACAGATAAACTGCAAATCATGATTTAAAAAAAAGTTTTATTTTTTACAAATAGATAAGCTTACTGAATTATTGAATAAGTGGAGAAATGTGACAATATATTGAGTAAGACATATGATTTTTTCTTATAATGCAAAAGCAGTTGGAATGGAGAATGAGATAGGTTTTAATAATGAATATTTTCAGTTCAATAATGAAGAGACTTACGGTATTTTAAAGACTGTATAACTAAAACTCTATTTTTCCTCCATTTCCCATAAAACGCTGAATAGTAATACCTCTGGTAAACAGAGAATTATCTCCATTAGTCAGGGGTGTTATCTAAATAAGGCAACAACTGATTTGGAGGGATCCCCCCATCCCAATTTTCCCAGTAACTTCCTACTGTTGCAATAAACAACACTACTGGTTTGTGCCCCATCTTCCCAACATCTCTCTACTGCCACCAAAACCCACCATACTGACCCTGGATCTTTGCAATGTCTTCTCGCTACAATTTATTTCTCCCTTTGTTCAGGTATTTTACATTAAATAAAACGCCAGGGAAAATACTAAACAGAATTCCAAAATAACGTCTCAGCACCCAAAGTAGGGGTGTCACTCAACAAACAAACAGACCTTTGCGGTTCCATTGAACCATGGCGCATTTTTCCCCATCAGAGAGCATTTTTTCCCTATAACAATTAGCATCTTTTATTGCCTTCATCCCATTTTGTTTTGATAAAAAGTATTACAGCCACGCAGGGGAAACACAAAACAGTCAAAAAATGAACTCTTGCGTAACAACCATGCTTGGAATTCCATCGCTCTCGCATTACTTAAAGTAAATTTACAGAGTAAATTTACCAAGTAGTACTTTGCATTCACACGGCGCTGCACACACACACTACTGTCCACATCAGAAATTCTACTATGGTAGCAACCACTGACTGTCATTCATCCGACCCGCATCTTAAATGAAATCCAGCGCAAGTGAAACCGCTTGTATCTACGGAAGCTTTCATCATCATCATCATCATCATCATCAAACGTAGCGATTAGAGTTGAGCTCGGCTGAACCCCTTTCTTCTGGAATAAGCCCCGACAGCAATCCATCCGCCCTGCAGGCAGAGGAGCCCTTCCCGGAGAGGCCGGGCGGTGCGACGAGAACTCGGCTCGCCGTTTTCCGCTCTGCTGTGTCACGATCTAGTTCCGCTTCCGTGAGAAAGAGCGAGAAGCGCGAATTGGAAGAGACCGTCGTTCCGTTTTGATGTCGTGAGGAGGCTTCTTTGGGGATAAATTAGCTTCTCGGCTGTTTGTTTTTGGTTCGTCTGTTTTTCGCTCTCGTTTCTTTCTATTAGTCGCGGCCTGTCTTGTTTCCTGCCTGTTCTGCTGTTTCTTTCTTCTTCTCTCGTTCTGTTCTTTTCCTTTTTCATAAGCTGCCTTTCCCCCTCTCCTCTCCTTCCTTCCTGAACCCCCCGTTTCTCCCCCCTGTGAAACAGTGTACAGCCTCGGGGGGGGGGGGAGGGGTGTCTGTGTGTTGTAGTAAAGTCATAGGGAAGCGTTTGCGCGACTATTCAGAAGGAGCTCCCTTGGGTTCAGTAGTATTCGCTTCCAGATAAGTTTTGCCTTCCTTCAGGCAACCTTGTGCATCCTGCCGATTCCCTCAGTCCTTCCCTCCTCTCTTTTATTCCCCCAGTTTCCTGAGTTCCTCCTTCCTTCAAAAACCAATACAAAGTTTGGTGGTACCTTAGAGAGCAACACATGCATGATTGAATATGCACACACGGGTGACTACACTCTAGTCTTCAGATGAACATTTAAGGTACCACAGAGCTTTCCAGTGGCCTTGCTATAACAGGCTAAACACAACTATTCATTAGAAACTACCTCCAATCTTTTACTTTGGGCTTGTTCTTTCCTTTTACCTCTGCATTAAGTTACCACTGATAGTCAGGAGGCAACAGCAGCTCTCAACAGAGTCTCCTCTCATTTTCATTTTTTCTTGTACAAAACAAGTCTCTAACTTTCTCTTACTGCACAAGTTTATGAATGATAAAGTATACATAAAGCATTTGCTTTGATATAAATTCTACTGAGTTCAGGGGGCTTACTTTCAAAAGTAAGTGCAATATTGCAGACTAAATATAAAATGTCTTATGAACATGAATCTGATTATTTTAAAGATTTTTTCTCAGTGCATAGTTGAGTTACTTTTCCCTACTTAAAACACTTTTGCTAATCTGATTCATTCCAGATGTGTTAACTAAAACTCCTGACTCCAATCATTATGATTAGGCTGTCTGGGGATAGTGAGAGTTATAATCAACATATCTGGAAGGAATCAGGTTGGGAAAGGTAATAATTCTTTTGAACCTAGCAATACAAATACCTAGCATATTATTACAAAACTCTGCAGTAGTTAGAAGCATTGGTTTAATACTATTTTCCTGTATTAGATATGAGGCTTATTCCTCAGCAAGAGTATGTTTAAAATCACATATTCCTATATTGTCTGGGAAGTAAGTTCCCCTTCAGTTCAGTGGTGCTTCTTAAAAGTAAGCATCTGATTATAATTCATATCTTGTTTCCATATTCTTAAGAACTTATGAGTAATACTGTAATAATGTTATGCTTGCTGCTTTATCAATTTTTGTACTAGTAATTTTTAAAATTTACTAGCTACCCAAACTACAATGTGCACGTTCTGCCTTATCCTCTTCTATTTCTTCTTGATCAACCTAGAAGCTTTTGTGCAATGACATCACAAGGAGAACTTGGAAACTCTTACAGCCACAAAAGGCAGGATGTAGCAATGGCAACAACAGGTACCAGAATGACTGGAGGCAGGAAGCAGAGACGCCATGCAGAAGCACAAAAGCAGGTATCAGTAGTATCTCCCCATTTTCCACACCAAGATCTAGGAGTTTTGTGTCCTCCAACTATTTGGACAGGCAAGAGTCCAAAATAGCATTCTAATATCAGCTCCTATCCTCAGGATCTCTGATACAGTAACAAGTGTGCCTCTAAATTCAGACAAAGTGTCTGCCTCACCACTTCTTACTTAGCAGCAGGAGTTTCCAATGGTAGAATGTGTAACTTCCTTTCACTTGGCGTATTTATTTTTGTCTTAGTGTGAATCTGTAAACAATTGCACGTCAGCAACTAATGTGGAAAAAGATGTGTTTAACTTTATATCATGTAGCAATTGTCTATCATGCCCTAGAGTTGTGTTTAGTAGAATTGTATATTCTGCTTGCTCCTTATTTATTCCTTAGTGCAGTACCTTGTCTGCTGCAAATCAGAAGTTAGTCCACACACTGTATCCTGCCCTTAGGCTTCTCTTCCTTGTCTTAAAGTGATAAATGTATGAGCTTATTTCTTCCCTGATTTTCTATTCACTGGTAGGGTGAAAAAATTAAAGAAGTAAAAAATGTACAGGCCAGCAAAGCAGATGTCCCTGAATATGTTCGCCAAGAAGTAGAAAGCTGTTACCGGCTCAAGATGCCTGAAGACTTCTATCATTTCTGGAAATTCTGTGAGGAATTGGAACCTGACAAACCATGTGGTAGGTCCCATACATCTATCTTATCTATATGAGTGTGTGCGCATATGTGTGTACAATTTTAATTTAGGCATAACAGTACCTTCAAAATGTTAGCATTTATTTTAGAAATGTATAAGGCTGCCCAACTGTATAATGACTCTGGGTGGCATACAGTAAAAGTAATCATACAATTAAAACAAACAGTCTCCCCTCCCCCCCCCCCCCCCCCCCCCCC